CGAGCAGCAGGCTCCGAGCGATCGGCAAGAAACTGCGACACTGCCGCCCGGTGGACAGCGCTGGACGACCGAACGTGGCCTCACCTGGCCTGGACAGCTGCACCTGCGTGTCACCGTGGCGTGTTCACCGGCAGACCGGCGGTAGCTCCTGACTCACCAGCTGTCAGTCTGACCCTGCAGCTCAGTCTGTGTTACCGTAGGTCCACCGAGGACACCCTCCCCCCTCTCAGTTCCCCTCAGCTGGGTGAAATTCACTCCGTCTGACCTCGGCCGAGCTCCGGTGAAAAATGTAACGAACATTGTCTACACCGATACCTTTGCATGGCAGACAAGCGGGGCGGCCGCGTGCTCGGATTACCCGGGGGAGCAGACTCTATCAGTGGGAAAGGCCCACAGTGTCTATCCTAGACCCGTGTAAGACCCGCGACAAGGCGGGCCAAAGACGGGATTATCGTGTTCGTGAATCCTCGTCGCGGGCGGCGACGCTGCGCGGCGGCCGATTCCGGCCTGGGGCGGGCGATATCGGACTCAGATCGACCCCGCTCGCTCGTCTCTTGGACAGTTAGGATCGCGATTAATCTCATCCGAGCAATCCACGACAGTCGGGCCACAATATCACGTACCGAAATCGCGGCCGGCGCCAGCTCCGACGCGTGAATAGCATACCAGTCACCCCGGACTGGCACTTTCAGTTATTAAAAATATCGGCCCGGCCGGCCTACTCAGAAAACTGAGCGGTGGGTTAAGTTCAAAACAAAGGATAGCGGGCATTATGAACGCATGGGCACGGTTCACGGTCCTCGTGTCTCTGATCTTTTCAAAATCGAGACACTAATTTCGGCATTCACTCTCACGAGCACGTATGGTTCGGGAACTCAAGACATCAGTCGTGATTGACTGCATTGTTCGCCGATGCGTTTACTATATCAGTCACAGTGGCATCCGCTAGAGGACTGCTCTAACGTCATATGGTAAATAGGTAATGACTTGAAATGCACATTAAAGCGCTTATAAATTTAGTTAAAAAGAAATGAACCACATAAATACATACACCACTGGGCCTCCGATTCGTATTGGCAGCATTTCTAGATCGTTTTCCAGTCGGCGTATAGGTACCTATAGCCCACGGGCAATGCGGCACAGCCTACCTACAGGCGCATACCACTGGCGCCACCTCGTAGCAAAAATATAAGCTAGCATCCACCATATAGGTATAAACGCAGTCTCGCATGCTTCCAAATGCTTTGGCCAGCTTGTAGTCAGAAGATAAGCGTCTTCACATTCTGCCTGTCCGCCATATCCATACACGCTGGCCAGCTTAATGCTTACGCCAGCACATGTCCAGAATTTAATGGATTCGCAGAAGCTGACGCATTAGGAGGCATAGAGCCACTGTTGGTCCCTGACTATAGTCTGTTTTTCGTATCTTCTACCTTCACTCAAAGATGTTTTGGCCCCTCCAGCACGTTTTAAGGGTACAGTTTTCAAATCTTGACCGCATGGCCCACCACTCATTGCAGGAGTTTGTTGCTCGTATTGGAGTTCGCCTTCGCTGCGCAGATAAAATCGGAAAAGAAACCTTTAAGCTAGAGTATCGCTTGTATTATCGTTACCACGGTTTATTGGTACTGACTACCGACCTATACACAAGGACGTTTTGCTGCTCATAGGTACTTGCATTGTGCGAAGCGCTCTTGCTAAGAACATTTAAAAAATAGTTTAAAGCTTGCACTTCCTTTTCATTGGGTAAAAGAAACTAAATGCGTTATATGTTCTGCCATATTTTTTTCAAATGCTTAATTTATGTTTTGCTTTATTTACGTTGCGATAACTTTTACACCGACGAATAACAAAATTGTCTTAGCCCACGCCCGCTTGGGGGTCCCCAGGCAGATTTGCTTCATCTTATAGTTTTCCTATCTGCCTCACGCGATCATCCCGAAAAGTAAGAAAGATGCGAAGACGCGGGCAAGAATCGATAGCTCTCAACAATTACTTTCAGCAGTATACGTATATAGTATATACCGCATTTTGCTGAGGTCAATAGTGAAGGCCACTGAAGGTCATAAATTTAAAAACTCCCGAGCTCAACATGTTTGGACAAATCTGACCAAACCTTGTCAACCGATTGAACTACAACGCCGTCGAAACATTTTTAGTTCTAGCAGCTATTAGGTATTGTCGAAAGCTGCTGGTGATCATCTGACATGACTTTTTGACCGCTGGCAATCACCAACGCCTTAGGGCTTATATTATGATACACAAATGCAGGTAATAACAACAATAACACCCACGTATGCATTTTTCGTATTATATTGCGCTGAAAGCATGACGGAGTTGAATTGTGCCACCACCGTCGGTGTTTCTCCGCGCCTTCAACACTTTTCTTTCTGCTATCCAAGGAAGTAAGTTCGTTATTCTGGCGATATTCGTTGGCTGTGCTCCTTCTTCACCGTCTTATTTCAGTCACCTTACCCACATTTCTTTTGCTTTGAAACGTTGAAAGAAAACGTTACGATCATTTCGTCTTGTCTGAGACCAAGGCCATTGCCCTTCTGTTGTTTGAAAACATAATGAAATTAGAAAGGGATAATTTGGCCAGATAGAAAATAAGATGACACGTTTTTATGCAAATTCATTTCACTTGACAAAGAACATTGCATTTTGATTAACGAGATCGGCCAAGGGGACAGACGTTCGATCTTGCGTTCGAGATAAAAATTGACTTTGCAGCGGTGTTGATTTAATTAGATGTTCGCTGGAGCACGTGATAAGAGAGTTTACCGTCTTTGAGTGAAGGTAGAAGATACGAAAAACAGACTATACCTACTCACATAAGACTTAGCACATTTTCGTGTAGATTTTGTGTGTGTTTAGAGCTGAAGTGCGATCTACGTCTCAAAGCGAAGGGAGAGAAATGGAGAAGGAAGAGAACCCGTCATACCTACTGTCCCATCATGTTCCCTCATATTCGAGGACTAAACTAGTGTACAAAATATAAGTGTTAGGTAGGTACCGCAATATTTGATACCCAACTAATTACAAAAGAATATTTTAACAGCTAATAGTCGTTTAAACTTCGAAAGGTTTATTCGCGTATTCCAATTTAATAATGCCATCAGCGTAATCTCTGTGCGCTTAAAAAACCGTCTCAGGCAAAGACCGAATATAGGCTTACCTATCAATTTCAGCTATAGTGACCCTATACGACGCAACGTTCGTCCATGGAGAAAACATTTAACCATCTATAAAAATGCAGCTTAAACGCAGAACATGCCATACTTGCATCGCAATCTACAAATCGGTCAATGAATCGCCATGTGGGCTGCAACAGATGGCCGGGTGTCCATTTCTTTACCGCACCATCATAGGCATTATATACCTACCTATTTGTAAACGGGTCTTGAAGGGAGGGATGACCAAACTGACCATGTCCGTTTACCGCCTCCAGCGGTTAATATTGTGGTAAGTACCACTTATGTAGATCAAGTGACTGCGGCATATTGGCACTCGCTATGTCGGACCTTCAATTAGGGGAGAGAGGTCATATTGCGCCACCTTAAGGATATCGGCCTATGGCGGCTAAAGTTGACCAGCTGTCATGCTTGATGATATCTCAAATTGTACCTCAGTTATTTTGGCATCAAATTACAACTCCTAATTTGTATCACACCCATAAAAATTAACAAGAGAAAAGTTTTCCGACACACCTGCAAAGGGCGCATTTACGGACTACACCATCAAAAAGCGCCCATGCCTCTCATGTAAAAGCGCCCTATTAAAAACAACGGTTTGCCACCTAACTAAGTAGCCTATTTGAACGTCTCAGCCCATTAACCATTTATGCTGTGAAGGCTAAGGTAACGGTAAGGTGAGCGCTCTAATAATCAAAGTGTTCAATGAAATGTGTCCCAACCACTAGATGCTGTTTCTCTGGGTTGAAGAATAGGGCGCAAATAGGGTGGGCGCAATTACGAATGGAACACATTTTTCATGAGCTTCAAATATGGCGAGGACAGTGAAGCCACGGTGGTGATAAACTTTCAAAACTACCATTAAACGAGCAATTAACAATGATTATTAGTTGAATCACTATCTCTAAGATAAACCATGACACTAGCAAAGGTCGAAATAGACTGTTTCGCGTAAGAAAATTGAGGAAATCACAAAAAATGGTCTGCGAGAAAGCTGAGACACCTCACCTGCCCCCGTGGACCGGAATAAGAGCGAGTTATTGGTGGTGAAGTAAATGCACACATTCGAGCATTCATTCGAATCGAATTTTGGCCAGGAGGAAGGTGTGGCGCATTTAAGAACATGGCGCAATATGACCTCTCTCCCCTACAGTATGTAGGTAATCCGTGGACGGACCCCAGTGTAGCTAAAAAAATCAATGAATGATGAAACAAACTATACTAATTATTTAATTTTCGCTGAACGATGACCCGCTTCGTCATGTGATATCTATTTTCTGGGCAGATGTTGCAGATTCCCTCTGCATTTGTGCAGGTAAAATAGTTGATCGGAATTGTAAGTGACGTCTTCTCTGGAGATGAGCCAGCGAGAGGCAGCGCCACCTCAGCCTAACCGGAAAACGGGTGACCTCATTCGTAACAGTGAAACGGGACGAGGCACCGCCAGACCGATCAGCAGACGGGCTATGACGTCATTTAGGACACCACACGCACTGTGACGTCACATGGTCCGGAGACCGTCCGGTGGTGACGTCACTCGATCCGGGTCCGGCGTGTCCCGAAATCCGGATGGTGTTTTCAACCGGGGGATCCCGAGACCATTGTTACCGACCCCGGTTCGCGTGAGCGGCGCCCATTACACAACATTCTCGGAGTGACCGACTACTGCGCTGAGTCGCCGATATCGGAGACTTCGGATTAGGTACTGTACTCTCAAACCTGCCTACGTGGGGCCGCGCAGGCTTCCTGGGAAGATACGATCAGCGTGTGTGATAACAAAGAGGCGAGCTGATTCACCGCACTCACCGGTACATCTTGAAGCCGTCGGTCCCGGCCGCCGGCTGGCAGACGGGCGGCGGCGTGGCCTTCTTCTCCGAACGCGCGCGGCCGCAGTTGCGGGCCGCCTCCAGTAGCCATCCGCCGAGTCCGATGACGTTCATGGTGACCGAGATCACCGTCACCCAGAGCAGCAGGTCCAGCTCGGAGACGGTACGCTGTCCGTCACCGGCGCTCCACGAGTCGGCCTCACCCATCGTCCGCAGACGGCGCCAGGTCACCGGCCAGAGAGCGAGTCAGCTCAGCGATCCAGCGGCACGCACGGGTCGTGTCCGCAATCCAAACACCCTCGGTAGGCGCAGGATAACACTGGACTACTGCGACGCCCCACGCGGCAGCCGCACGGCTCAGCACGCACCCTCAGCGCACCCCTCGAGCCGAATCCGTGAGCGGCCACGCCGTCGCCGCGTCGGCCGAGTCGGGCTAGTCCCGAACGTGACGTCACACCAGCAGCGGGCGCTGATTGGTGCGTGACCGGCCGGAATCGCGTGGTTGGTCGCAGAAGTCCGAGCGCGGAGCGGTGGCCGGCCGCCGGAATCGGAGCCCCCTGCATAGGCGGCGGAACGGGGAGTGATAATGTAAAGTGGGGAGGGCTATAAAACGTATAGATAGTAGATACACACCTAAATAGGATAAACTAATTAGAAAAAACACTAATGCCTGTGAGGTCACCGGTTGACTTGAGGCCATTGACTTTCTCTAAAATCGGGGACAACCCTGACGGCCTGACCTGTGACCTCTAGATTGACCTTGACCCCTTAACGAAAGATCAAAAGTCGGGGTACCGGGTGGGTAAGTGCCGAGACCACAGTAACTTAGGAAACGATCAGACGAGGGCACTTCATGCGGTACCTCGACTTGGGGTCAAGTCAAGGTCAAGTTAGAGATCACAGGTCAGGGTCATTTCCAAAGGTCCTTTAGGCGAGGAACACACAGAGACCACTTAGAAAATGATCAACATAAAAATTAGGCCACTTATGCGGTGCGCCGACCAGACCCTTGACTTGACCCTCGATTCGAGGCAAGGTGAAGTAAGAGTTCACAAGTCAGCGTCCCACTCGTTGGATCTTTAGGCGGGGAGCACATAGACACCACGTAGGAAAAATATTTGAACGAATCTGAATGTGCATGTGATGATGCAACCAAACGCGCAGCAATTTATTTTCCGCTGCTGTAAAATAACTTGCAAACCTATCCATTGCGCAGGTGCGCCATACCTGGCGCAGATGCGACGCCATATTTCAATTTCTGCGAAAAAGTGACGCCGGTTGCGAAATTACTACGTATAGGGCATTGACTACGGCTCCAGGATTTTCCTAGAGCCGTCCTGCGTTTTATTTTTTAACTTAGGATTAACTTATAAATTTTGTAGGGTAAGTAAAACGTGTTTTATTACATTGAGTGGATATTTTTTGTGCGAATGCAACGCTTTTGTTAGGCAACGCATCTTGCTCAATGCTATGCCATGCTGCTCTTGTGGTTTGGTTCAAGTTGTGCTTCTAATCATAATGATTAGGGACTCATCTTGTTTCAATAAAATTAAGATGTCTTAAGGTTGTGAATTTGTTTTTGCCGTAAATGTGTTTGAGAATTGAGACTACATTTAATTGTTTTACGCCCCTGCTTCAAATTAAGTGTGCGGCTTAACCCCTTAACAATAAGATATCCAGGAAAGTTTGGTGTTACTAAGTTTAGCTATTCATATGATGGCTACTGCTTATTTAGTATAGTCCTTTAGTCCTTTATTTTCAATGTCATGCTTAAGGCTTCTTATCCTTTGTTATCCTTTGTTATTTTTTTTCAGGTACATTTCAACTCTTGAAGTCTTGATTACACAGAAAAGGCATACTGCCTGTAACTTCCATTTCTCCTTACTGTTAAGAGAAGGTTTACTCACTTTGCTTCATTGTTGCATGCTTCCCCTTTTTCTGCTAGCCCTTTTAGCTTGTACATTTAACATTACACATGTTAATATTATTTGTAACTTTCATATTTTCAGCAAATTGAAATACTCCTAAGTCCTACTTGTGTCATAATTATGTGTGTTGTTTTGCTACACTCTTTTTCATAAGTTGATTGAGTTTATCAGCAATTCATCTCACAAGTAGCAACTAAATTTTTAGCTTAAGGAAATATAGGTGCCACTAGTCTTCTCAAATTAGTTTTTTATTAGTTTGATAATTTGTCTTGTTAATATTATCATAAAAGACAATAATGAATGTTTACAAAAGGGATTTTAAAAATATTGTCATATAGGAAGAACTATTTTCCATCTTTGGTACTAATCATATTCCCCAGGTCAAGCCAGCTACATGTTGATAAGCTGACAATTGTCCTCTGCCACAAGTGGCTGCATGCCTCCATAAGGGAATGCATTCAGAACTAAAATTGATATATCTTTGGCTGGGATGATTGTTTGTTGGAGTGTAAAATCCTCAGAATTTACTAGAATCAGGCCAAGCTACAAAACTGCTGTTTCAGTTCCAAACCCAAGTTTAAAGTGATATACTTTTCTTAAAGTACCTGCACATCCATGAAGAAATACTGCTGCCTCATTCATTGTATGTCTATTTTAAGGGAAGAACTGCCTGTTATCTCTGTTCAATTTAGTCAGTACATTTAAAGCATACCCTAACCCTCCAGCAGGGAGTTGTGTTCCGAATTGTGTGGAATTGTACTTGTAGTGACTAGTGGAACAAAAAGTTGGCACCGATATTGCACCTGACCTATGCATTATCTACTTACACCTTTAAATTTAGCAAGTCACCATTTGAATTCATGCTAGGTGATTATTGCTCATATGGCCCAAGTGGTTCCAAAGATTATGCATATAGGTGGGAACTTACTAATGCAGAAACTATTGAAGATTATAGTATAAGTTTGTCACATTTCATAAGGGAGATTCATCATAGGGAAGGAGTTACCTGTCAGTTGACACCAATGCTATGTTTTTACAAAACAATTTGAAGTTCAGTCTTGGCTCACCTTTCTAATGCAGGCTAACCTGATATTTTTGTGTTTCATGATAACCCTCAGTTCAGAGAGAATATAGGCTACCGAGGCAGTTTAGGCTCACCTCATACCATCCAGTCCAAAGTGGCATTAGCCAGTTGGTACTGAGCTTGGCTGGCAACTGGCCAGAAACACAAGAGGAGTGACAATTTCAAGCTACATTATCTTGCTGCAGGCCAAACAGTGATGAATTATTATTTTTTCTTCAAAAGGCAATGAACAGCCTGCCATGTTTAATGATGACACTGCTGACTGCTTATGAACTTGCACAATCAATGCCTATAATAGTGGTCAAAACACATTAGTACTTAATTGAAATGATAGATACCTATTTATTTTCGTCTGATGTGTTAAATAACACTTATTTCAGAAACTAAAGCAGCCAAGCTAATGGGCTCACCTAATCTGTTTAAGAAGATAATTTAAGAGGAGATATTATGTGTATTGATGCTCTTTAGGGGAGGTCAAGTTTCAACTGATGAGCTTGCTCTCTCATAATTCTCAATTGCATTCACATTAACCTGTGTTTTTGTGGTGGTTTGATCTTACTCCATATGAAAGTGCAAAGCAGTTGAACACCAGTAATGGGACTTAGGCTTGGACAAACTGTTGCATAACAATAATGTGGACTATGGAGCACAGTGACTATCTGCATTGTTTCGCTGCCAAAATACAGCACCAAATGACACCCACCTGTATATATTTACATTCAACCTCGTCAGATGGCATCCATCCATGTCTTAGCCTCGTGGCTATCAAATCGCACCAGGGGCCGAACATCTGATCAAAGAGGACCGACCCTGTGTGCCGCCCGAGTCGCAGGAAACCGCGCAAACGCCGATCTCGGAGCTCCTGACGTTGTCGAGTCGCGACCGGCCAAACACGTTTGAAAAGTTGTGCCGCTTTGATTTGGTTCTTAGACTTGGGGGCGCAGGTTTCTGAAACCTTCAAATCTTTGGAGACAAACTGTTCTAAGGATATGAGCCAGGATTGTTATGGTAGGTAGGATAAGTTTAGCTTAGCGTGCTGATAAGTTTGTTCTGGGATGAACACACAACCAACTTCCTATCACATTGAGTCATATTATATACTAGCAAAATCAATGTTGCGTGCTCGTTTTCTGGGCCGGAACATAATCTGAAATGGTTTTTGACTGTTCAACTCGTGGAGTATGGTGCATGATGCTCGTCGGTTATCGCACTACAACTGCTGGTACTTCACAAGATACTGTCCCGCCATGTCACCTAGCTGTTGTCCTAATGCAGGGGAATTAGCCCGACTCTGATAAGTGATACGGCAACGCTGAGCCCTTCTGATACTATTGTGTTTATTCAAGAGTTACTTAGATGGCTCAGTCAGGTCGACGGGTTTGTCGAAGGGCTTCGAGTGCCTGTCGCTAGTGGAATGTGGGTGGTTCACCCGTCGGGAATAAGTGCATTGTTGTAGTGGTTGATACAGGCTATCGTTTTAGCGCTCATGTTGCCTCAGTCACGGGTAGTTTTATGTTATCAAATGATTCAGTACTCTGTCTTGAGTCCCCTCCTCGCTCTTGCTCTCTCCCCTCCCTCCCTCTCTCCCCCTATTTCTCCCTGTGACCGTGTCTGAACTCTGACCCGATCTGCGCCGCTGCGTCCTCAGATGTACCGGGGACGCGGCGCCGGAGGCCGCGGTGGCCGGCCGTTTCCCCTGCGCGGCGTCCGACCCGTCCAGATGAAGCCCGGCCGCGGCCGCCCGGTCGGACCGCCCGGCTTCTCTCCCAGCCGCGGGCCGCGGCCGCTGCTGGAGCCCGGCTGGGCGCCGCGGCCGCCGCCACCTCCTCACATGATGCGCGGCATGGGCCCGCGGCCGCCGCCGGCGCCCTACGCCTCGCCGATGCGCGGCCGCGGCGGACCCCCGAGAGGCCGCGGCGCGCCGCCCCGGGGCCGTGGCGCGCCGCCCGCCAGTCCCGCAGCCAGGGGGTTCTCATCCAGCCGCTCACGTGGAGCCACCAGAGGCAGGGGACGGGGAGCCGGCAAAACTCAGACCACCATCAAGAACGACATCAAGAGCAGCAAAAATGAAAAGGTGAGCGTTTGCTGCCTGTGCCTATACTTCTCCGAACGAAGCTCGGTTTGCCGCAATTCCAGTGAGCAGCTCATTGTCAGGTGTGCGCCAGTTTGCCTGTCCCGTTCTCGGTACATCCAGCGGTACGGCGAAGTGTCACGCCGAAGGCACGGTGTCGTTGCGTCACTTGCCCGTCACGTTAGCGATGTCCCTGAATGTGTCGCGTGCGGTTCGCTGAAGTCCGTGGTCCCCCGCGGCGTCCCCGCTGACGGTCGCCGCGCCTTGTGTGCACGGAGGGCGGCAATGTGCCCTTGGAGGGGACACTCGGCCAGGGAAAGGGTGGTTTTGTGGCCTGGAAAGCATGGCGATACGTCATGCTAAGTGGTAACCACCCTGTCCGATCACGTGACCCTCACGTCTATTGTTTTTGTTGTTTAGTTAAATGTCACATAGTTCTTCTTTATTAGTGTCGCAGAACTCGTAGATGCACTTGACAACTTTGATGAGTAATAGGCTGAAATGCGACAAAACGTGATCAAGCTTGGATTTGCCTTTCATCTTCAACTTCCCTTATTTCCGTCGCATCAGTTTGACTAATTATCTATTAACCCTCTGATGTTCTCACTAAGCTGGTAATCAGTTCCGATCCTGATAAGCCCCCAGCAGCTAACCCGTCGTCCCCCTCGGTATGTCAGCAGCGGGACGAGATCGCTCTATCCCGGCCGTGGATCAACGACGCGCTGCGGGCCGAGATAAAGAAAAAGTCGGAGCTGCAGGCCATCTCGATGAAGTCCAAGTCGGAGAAGGACTTTGAAGCGTTCAAGGAGCAGCGCAACAAGGTCGGCAACATGCTGCGCGCCGCCAAACTCGAGTACATCGGCATGCAGGAGGAGGAGGTGAGAGTCAACAGTGAGCGCTGAGCTGGATGGGACACCGGGTGGTAGTGTAGCGAAAGAGGCCGCCTGAAATAGTGATTGGACGAGAATTGTGCCATTTGTTGGTTAAATTAATTATTGTAGACCAATTTTTATGGTAGCTATTATGTAGCAAATGACGAGTTATGGTATCATTTTTACAAATGCTGTTGCATGATAAACAACTTGCTGTGCTGACCTTACCAAATGTGCAACACTTCCTTTATTCCACAATAGTTCTTAGTGAACGACATATCAAAGTACTTTGAAATTCAGTGCAATCTTGAGCAGTAGCGGCGGAACACCTTCAATTAAGGGGGGGGGGGGGGGGCACTGCCGACTTTTGGTCCCATTCTTTCCATGCAACGCGGCCCCATAGGGCTAATGTTAAAATGCCAAAATCAAAGGGGGCACAGTGCCCCTGTGCCCTCCCCGTTCCGCCGCCTATGATCTTGAGTACCTTTGAAATGAAATCAATTGATTACGGTGGCCGAAGACTTCCACTGCCGTTGTAACGTTGCTTCATTGTTGTCCGTTTCCTCACACACTCCCGTTTTTCAGGACGTGGACAAGATTATGGCCGACGCTCGGCAAAAGACAAAGGAATCTATGACCGAAACCAAAGGCGAGGTGAAAACTGAGAACGGTAACGGCACGTCGGACGCGGCCCCGGCGGAAGCGACCGCCAACGGAGAGGCCGCCGCTGACGCCCCAGTCAAGACGGAGCCGGCGGCGGAGGCGGCCGCCGTCTAGCACCTGGCTCCCGCTCAAGCCCCTGCGGCCTACCTGTCTTATGTTGGTCCCCGCTCCATCGCTCCCTGTGTTCAGCCCCGTGAAGACTGAGCCGCCGCCCGGCGGCGGCTGCGCGAGATTACAGTTCACTGACAGCCCGATAGATGGAGGGCGATACGCCGTGTTGTGAGAGGAATGACGTACCGTCGGTAGGTTTCCTCGGCCGGGCGAGGTCACACCCCGCCCCGCGGGAACTGTGGGCCATTCCCGTGGAATGGCGTGCTTATGTTGAGGCGAATTGGCGGCGGACCGAGCGCCTGCCTCCCCAGGAGAGCCGCAGCCCACAACCTCAGTTGGTTTTTACAGTACAACGGCGTCGGACCATGCGTTCATCTGAGGCGGGCAGCTGAGGCCCGCAGGTACCCGTGGCGAGAGGCCATTTTTGTACGTGCTTCTGGCATTCAATACACGGGTCATTCCTGGCATTTTTCGTGGCGGATATGGGACCGATGGTGCTGGCTGGTGACGTGCGGAGTAATGGGTTTTCATTGGTTTGTTGTTTGTTTTGCTGGGTTGGGGTCTTTCGGTCTAACGAGATCATTGCAGAACCGGAATGATGGCCGGAATTAGGGGGAGAAATTGGTCTGGGCGGGCACCATGGTGACTGGTGAGTCGGGGCTGAGCCCATCTAGTGGACAGGCCACCCAGCCTCCTGACAACGCACTCAGTCGGCACCAGGCAGCGACATCTACATCGACTGGAAGGGAACCAGCGGTTTGTCTTAATGTTAACAATAATTTTCACTCAATTTTTTACATACGGTTAAATGAAACACTTTTATATCCCATGGATAACACAGAAGACATCTTTGAGTGCAATTCTTTTTATAAACTACTGGAAAATTTCGCGCGCTTTCAACGCAGCTTCATAAGTGACGCAACTGTTACTATTCCTCACTATTCCATCTGTTCTAATAGGTGACTCAAGATTTTGTTGCCTAGCAACTTGCTTTGATTCACTCTTGAAATGCCTGGTTGCTATGCAATTAGGTGTTACTGACTGACAACAGAATTATTGAACACAAATTATGGAAAGCGTGCTATTTCGTGGTTTACGGCTTACTTCAAAGCGATCAAATTTCTATTTGACGGGGTTGTGTGCAGTCGTCATTCAAGCTAGTAAGTTTTTGCGTTGTTAGAGAACATTTGTTGTTTTATGGTAGCGTGTTAAGTGAGAGAAAAACAGAAAGGAGGGTCAAAGGAGGCAGAACAGTTGCCAACCTCGAATGCTTGTGTCGCTCTTGATACGGGATCGGCCCATGCCTGTGCTTTGTTTCCAGAATCAGCTCATGCAGTACACCGTCCTAGCTCTTCAAAACCTCCATGTCCTCCATATGGCTGATTGCTGGAGGCATGTCATTGTAACTCGGAATGGAGTTGGTGGTTCATGTCATTTGATCCACATACCTATATTTAGCCAGCTGGGAACTGGTGAGAGATAATGGTGAAAACAGGGCGCCTGTGGCGATTCGATCAAGGCTCTTGAAATTCACTCGCACAAACTATGTGACAATCACTGTGTAACAATCACTGTACTGTTAGAAGGTGTTGAGAGGGGAGAACTTCTCAATAGTCACGTGACCAAATATGCCCTTCGGCACCCTGTTTTCACCGGCGTCCCTGGTGAGCCATGAGGGAGGACCACTCCAAACCTGAGCAGTCTATTTAGACAACATTTCTATAAAAAGTCAATCTTTTGGCTCATCTTGTGGTCTGTCCTGAAGTTCCTTGATTGATCCTGCTCTGCCCAAGTTGACAATGACTGGGTGGGGGGCATGGGTGGATGTCATCTTGCACTGCTGCTTGCCGCATTTGGGCACACTAGTGGCCTGCCCAAGTTACACTGTAGTGAAAACACATTGATTTTGATCAAAGTGGGCTAACCCAAGCTATAGCCCAAGCCACCCAATGTTGGCTACAGTTCAGCCCAAGCAAATTGGTGGCTGGGTACATGTCTCATCATATTGTCTAGCACAGCCTAAGTCATTAGCACAGACTGTCGCCAGTTGGTCATTTCTCCATTGCTGGCCTAGCGCAGATATTGCATTTATTGTAGGCTGAAGTTGACTTTTGAGGAATAGAAATCACAGTAAACATGCTGTTAGGTTCCCCAAATGTGTTGAGAGTGGTCCATTACTATAAGAATGAAGAGGTACATGCCTAGCAAGGAGGTTGATTCTTATTAGAGAAGGCCTTTCATTGAATGGTTGCACAGCAAGGAAAAGTTCAGTTTTCATCCCTTATTAAAGTGATGGGTGCAGGCTGAGTTGGATCAGGCTGCTCAACTACCCACGGGGGCATTTTGGTCTTGTGGAAGGCATGTTTTGTTAGGTACAAAAGATTTTCATTCTGAACTCCCTTGTAATGGCCTAATTTCAGATAAGTACCAGTCATGCCTGCTGAGATGATCAACGCCAGCCCAGAAGCCTGGCTGACAGCTCCTCTGGATGAGATCGGACGTCGGTTCTCAGCTGGTTTGGCGGCCGGTCTTTCCCCTGCCGCGGCTGAGAAGCAGGCCGCCGCCGCGCTGACAGAATTCGCCAGCCAGCCGGACATCTGGCGCCAGCTGCCTCTCCTCAACGCCACACCGTCACACGCCTGGCGCGCCGGCCGGCTGGCGCGCTTCCGCGGGATGGTGCAGGACATGCACGACCCCGAGTTCTACCTGCGAGCGTTTGGGGTCCGCGGCGCCGGCGCCACGCGCACCGCATGCGGTCGTTACCGGGACGTGGTCGACTGCGGCCCAGATGAAACACTCGACCCTGACGTGCAGGAGACGGGAGACCGACAGACGCTGCGCTGCGTGACGGTCCCCCGCCGCACGGCCTGGTCACGGGAGGAAGACCGTCCCGCGGCGCCGCCCGCCGAGACAGGCAGTGGTGAGAGGGAGTCATCGGCCGCCAAACGGACCCACGAGGACGAGGACGAGGACTGTGAGATGCAGGAGGAAACTGCAGCGGAGGACGGAGAAAAGAAGGTTCGCACGACGAACGGATCGACAAACTCGACTGCACCGGCGACGGGTGGCGAGAACTCCTCTGAACAAAGCGCTGCGTCTGTTGCCGCTGCGGCGGTGGCGCGCGATCTCCCCATACCCGGCTCAGACGCCATGGTGTGTCTGGTCAAGGTGTACAGCGACGAGCACGAGCTGGCGCTCAACGATCTGGTGGAGTTTGTCGGTGTGGTGACGCTCGATCCGACGCTGGCGGCCGCGCCGGAGGTTGAGGACGCTATGGAGGCGGACGAGGCTGCGGCGCACCACCCGCCGCCGTCGCTGGCGCCGCGCCTGCACGCGGTCACCTGGCGCCGCCTGGAGCACAGTAACCCTCTGCTGCCGGACGTGCTGCCCTTGCCTCCGGCAGAGGCGGCGCAGGAGATGTCTGCCACCCGCCGCCAGCTGCTGACCGTCCTCCAGACCGCGCTGCTGGGCGACGCGCTGGCCGCTGAGCTGGTTCTCTGCCACCTCCTCTCCTCCGTATACATCCGACACGACGTCATGGCGCTGGGAAAGCTGGCTCTGAACGTGTCGAACCTGACCCCCGCGGCTACAGCGGCCGGTCTGCCGCGGCGGCTCTACTCCCTACTGGAGAGACTGACTGAGAAGGCACTTCTCGTGCCGCTGTCGATCGCCCACCTGAACTCTGCGACACTCGTGCCCAGTAAGGACTACAAGTGTAACGTGCTGGTGACGGGAGACCTGCAGCTGAGCCGCAACACACACCTGGTACTGGACGAGACAGAGCTGTCGCAGGGTGAGTGGTGCTAGACTAGACTGTTCTAGCAGTAACGTAATCGAGTTGTGATATCTGTGCTGATAAAAGCCGGGTGCGGGGTTTAAAGTGTGGGTTTTTTACAGTCAAATCCCAAAGCAGTGGGTTTGCTTGCTAGAAGATGTTTCAGCCTGTTTTTTACGTCAGTCAATGATTTAGAATCTAGTTCTAATATCCTACCTTAATCGGCTATTTACGGTCCTTGCGTATCCTGCCCCCCGTAGGTAGTTTCATGACCTTGCTGTGTCCCTTGCTCTGACCTACCCCTCCCCTTCTCTTTCAGGTCAGCTGGACGAGCGCGGCGTCAAGAACCTCTCCGCGCTGGGCCACCTGATCACCTGGCAGAAGGTCGAGTACGACTTTTCCTTCCACCGTCTGGCATACGAGGCGGACGTGCCGGTACTGGTGCTGTCCGAGGGTCGCTCTTTGCTTCCCTCTGACTGCCGCGTGCCCCTGCAGCCCTCGGAGGAGGCCGAGAGACTGTCGGAGCAGCACCGCGCGTTGGAGGAGTACCTGACGCCGTCCCTGCTCCAACAGATCAGGAGGTGAGGGACTGGAGGTGGGAGGATGGACTGTTGGAGGGATGTGATGATTTTGTGCTGTAATGGCGACACGTCTCATTGGCGGCTGCTAAGCATTGTAGTTTCATTGAGATAAATTTGGTGTTTCAATTTGTAAAAAGTGTATGGCGATTCGTCATCTCTCCTAAGGCGCTAAGGTGCATGCAATTATTTCGTCCCGTTTGAGCTAAGTGTCTGACGTTATCCCCCCTCCCCTCAGATACCTGACAGTGTGCCGTCGCCTGCCCTACGCGGTTCCCGAGGCTCTCCAGGGGGCCGTCCAGCAGGAGTTCGTCAGCTGGCGGCAGGAGTCGGGTAACCAGGTGAAGGCTGAGGACCTGCACCACCTGCTGGTACTGGCGCGCCTGCTCAGCCTGTCCCACGGGAAGACAGAGCTGACAGCGGAGGTGTGGAGGGAGGCGCGCCGGATAGAGGAGCAGAGGAGGGCGCGCGTGCAGCGCGCCGGACCCACACCCGTGGCTGCCTGAGCGGTGACCTGATACTGGAAGGGTGAGTGGGATGGAAACGACCTTTTGTGAGAAACCGATGGGTGTTCGCGAATTTGATGGAAAGTTTGGAAAACGTGCAAGCTTTGCACAGGTAGCATTCCAGTTATGACACGTACTTTCGATTGTCTGCCAAGTCAGCGTATGTGATTAGTTCGGGTGTTGTGTGGTCACACGGTGACCATGTTTGTGGTAAAGTACAACGGGCGGCGAGATGGCCCGGTGATAGAAAAGATTCGGTGAGATGAGTTGGGGTTTCAGCAAGTCCGCTGAAACACCTGAGACCTGAATGACGGTGTGATGTGTTGTCGCTTGCTCGGCGTGTTGTTTGGTCTGATACGCGTTTTGACTACCTGATTCGTTAGAAGATTGTGAGGACCAACGTTTGTGTGTCATAGTTTTCTACCGTTCTCTGCTTGAAGTTCAGCGTCTCTTCCTCTAGTGCATTGTTTTGATCAATACACCAACTTTGCTATTATTTTGCGTAAGTTTTCGCCATTCGTGCGCTTTTTCTGGGGAAGCAATCCTTCCAAACATATTTCAGAAAGCTTGTATGACAAAGCCACCCTACAAACCATCAGCACGTATTT